TTTTCCGTAATTTTCGCATTTTCGTTGAAGTTGAAGCAGGAAAGACACTGAAGAGCAACCCTTATCTAAGTAACGCACTTAAGCTGTAAAATAATTCACTTCTTTAAGAGGACACTTGGTGGTAGGATAGTTCATGGTTTGACTCTACTCTAGAGAGATATATATTTAGGCTGCATCCGAATTTCCACATGTATTGATGGCATGCATATTTTCCTTAATTACAATTGGGGACATCCCGTCAGAACTTCAGCTTAGAGATACCACTGAATATTATCTGCTAGAAAATGTCAGTGAATAGGCGATACACGAGAACAGCAAGAATAAGAGCACGGTATCCTAGCCATATACAACGAAATGCTCTGCCCACCAGCATTCCTGGATGTTCTGCGTGTGTCATTCACGGAATAAATTTCTTGCATCTACGAGCTGGTTGAATGTCGAGAAAATATCAAACGGCATGAAAGAGACTCTGGATGGCTCCATTATGCATGCAATATCTAAATTAAAAGAAAAATCTACATATGCACCTTCCTCTGGAAAGATTTCGGGCAGAATCCGCATTTGTAGAACTTTAGTACGGAATGGATCGTCTCGTGCGTTGCCAGCAACGTACTGGATGCAAACGTTCGTGAACAATAGTGACAAGGGAAGTCACCGCCCATCGGAGACTCATGAGTTTGCTAAAGACAAAAAATCAACTACCTTTGACAACCTGACAGACGGGGACAGAAAACAATCAGAAAACTGAACAAGCTTACGACACAGTTAACCGGAAGAAGTCAAAACTGAAAATGCCAGGTGAATTCCGCTTCAGGTTAGAAATTTGAAGCGTTCATCATAATCTTACCACAGCGCCCGACCGAAATGAAGGAATGTACAGCTAAGTGAATTTAACAATCGATTGCTTTCTTTCCAACCGAAATGGTACCTACGAAACATGTATTTTACAAATTCCAATATGATCCGATAAGGAACCGGTGGCAAACAGGGTAGGACAGATCCTCAAATACAAACCCAGATGGACGACTGGCGATGATCGTCTGCATTCATTTCAAATTAAGTACAAAATAGCCAAGTACACTGAAATACCCAGTATTGTGGGGCTCCTAGGAAAGCATTTTGCAATGTAGGTATCTTAAAACCTAGTGCATGATGCGAACAGCAAAGGAACGACGCAACTACCCTGTACAAGTTCAGATAAATGACATGAGAAAATAGCCATATATCATAATAATCAAAATAAAATTATGACATTCATCTACTCAATGGGGGATGGACAGGTATATAATACGCGGAGTACAATAAGCTACTTTTATTGTAATGTAAAGCCAAGAACAATATAAACAATTCATGGGTACACGTTTGTATATTTCATTAGCCAACTACAGGTTGAAGGGCTTTAGAAATCACCTAGTCGACCTTGGAATAGCCATAATTGGGCTCCTACATAAAGTCACTGGAAAAATTGCCTCACCTGATGTTCATGAAGAGTAGATGGGTGAGCAAACGACCTTCCGCAGTTGCACGTCAGTGAACAAGGTTCAGCCTCACCAGCTGCGCACAGAGGTTCGTGAGACGCTAATTCGTCCGCCGAATCAAAGCAGTATCCACAAAACATACACACCACTTCACCTTCTTCTGGGTCACGATGAATGTTTCCAGTTCCTAAAATGAAAACCTTCAAAGCCCTAATAACAAGTTAAGAAAGTTTATAACCGGCAAAACTGGCAGCAGACACAATTCCAAAATGATATCTGGCGAAACAAAGAAAAAAATCAATACAC